ACAATTACAAATTCAACTGCATAACGTGCAGTTCATATTCGAAAATTTCAAATTTTTAAATGGATTTTATAATTTCCTTTTATAAAATAAAGTGCTTTATGGGTGGAGATAGTTTGAACTTGCTTTGGAGATTCACGTCACATAAAGGGTGGCGAAGCAGCCAAGCAAGGGAAGGATGGCGAGATAGAAAGCAATGCCAAAGGGAAAAGGAACAAACGCACATGCGAGTGGGGAAGACGTGATACACACATCCAAGAAGGAAAATTTTAAGTATTAGAGTTTTATTAATCTCATGCAATAGGAGAGAACTCTCTCGTGCAATAGAGATAATTACGTATGAGACTCACCTATTATAGAAAAAGAAAAAAAAAGAATACAGAAATTGATGTATGTGTAGGAGAGAAAAATTCTCTCATACAACATAAGAGTATATTTTTCCTAATTATTATTTATTATACAATAAAATAAAATAAAAAAGCCATTGAGTGTTGTCACATTTGATCGAACCTTCCCTTCAAGCCAGTCGTGTCTTCAGTTCAATTTCAGATCTCCCTATCTCATCGTAGGGAATTTCTTGTATATAACAGGAGTACGGAGTTTGGTATTACTTTTTTTTGGGAGGTTATAGTTACTACCTCTCTTTTTTACTATCAAATCTTAACCATTGATTTCTGTCAATCTAATGGTTATAATTTATTGCATCATATTTATAATTAATTATTAATTTCCAATAAATTATAACCATTAGATTGACAGAAATCAACAGTTAAAATTTAGTAGTAAAATGTAGTAAGAAAAAAGAGATAGTATCCACTAGGGCTAGCCTAGTGGTGTGGGTGTGTGTAATAGGGTATGTGTGAGTGTGTGGTTGTATGTTCTATTCCCTGTAACCTACCAAAAAAAAAAAAAAGTAGTAACTATAACCCTTCCTTTCCTTTTTACTTAAAAAGTAAAAAAAAAATCTACTTCAAGACATAGCTTTTTTATATAATTTTCTTCATATCCCAAAACTTTCCCCTTCTGGTAAAGATGCACTCATGGTAGAAGTACTGTAGGTTTTTTCATCACCGTAAATTCGTTAATGTTGATAGTTTTCTTTGGCTTTATAAAGGGAAGTGTCTGATATAGACCATTAGGGGTGAAATTGGGTCGGGCCGGTCTACAGGGGCTTATGGTTCAGCCTACGTTAGGCCGGACCTGACCTAATATGTTTCGTAAAATAGGCTGAACTTAGGCCTTGAAAAAACTTGTTTAATAAAAAGGTTGTAGGCCCACTTTCATAAGGTCTGGCCTATAAGCCTACAGGCTGGCCTATATTGTACTATTTATTTTAAATAAAATAAAATAGAATAAATATGCCTTGAAGAAAAACAAAAGATATAAATTTAATCAATTGCAATTATTTATAACTTAATTATATTCGATTATATTTTAATAGAAATCTAACTTTATTTCTTATGTAGGAGGAACCTACATCTCTGTATGTTAGATTATGTTTATGAATATATTAAAAGATTTTTGGAAGAGGTTATACTTACTACAAGCATCATGATGTGTTTTTTGGATTCATTTAGTTATTTTAGTTTACATAGTATGAATTTATTTATTGGATCTGATGAAATATATGTTATTTAGTTTGAGCATTTTACTTTTGAAAGTGACTTAAATGTAGATTGTAGGAGTTTTGTTGTGATTCATGATTCTGTTTGGACGTTGAAATTGTGATTTTTGGTTTAGCAACAGAATTTGAGTATTTTGTAAAGTTGATTCATGATTTTGCTTGGAAGTTAAAAATTAGCAGGCTAACAGGCTAGGCTAGACCATTTATATTTTTATAAACGGATCAAGTCAGGCTAACAGTTAGACTCATACTAGGCTTGAATCAAGCCAAATTGAAATTTTTTTATGTAGGCTTGGGCTTTTCGGGTTAAAGCTTGACCCAGCCCAGCCCAGCCCACTTTCACCCCTATAGACCGCCCTTCACAGCCCAATATATATGAGTTGATCTACAAAGACTAATTAAGGGGTCATTCTTCTGCCTTCGTACACTGAGCACATGGACTTTACCATGAATAATCTCTCGTTCCTTGCATAGCTCACCCATCGTGTACTCCTAGGGGGGCGTTTGGTACAGGAGAAATTTTTATTTGTCCGGGAATCTCAATTTTCAAAAATATGATTTTTACATTCAGTTTACCATAATATCCGGAAATTTAAAATTTAGAAAAATTCAGTTTCCCGGGAATCCGGCCAAATGCCGTGTACCAAACGCCCCCTAGGATTATCGTGCAATTCCTCAGTGAGGTAATTGACAAAAACGATTAGGTTCATTCTCTCTCCTATTACGAGAGAATATTTTTCCCACCTATATATACTCCTCTTCTCCACTTGAAGAGGCATATGACATTTATTACATTCATTAATTGTTACTATGCAAAAATATAGAGCTACTATACTCTTATACCTCCCCCCCTCTCTCAACCATACATGAGATAACATTTACGATGACTCTTCTGGAGCTTTGATTTATACCATTGCTTTTTTGAGTATCTACACGAGATAAGACATCCCTTGAAGAATAGAGACCTAACTCTAACTCCGCAACATCTCAATACCACCCCCTAATCTAAACTTTATTATTTACAATAAAAAAGTTAAAAAAAATAAATTCAATTGAGTGTGCAATTAGGTTAAAAATTTGAAACGAAAAGCTTTGTTATTCTCGTAATATTACCTACCGTAAATCTGAATTAGTCTCCGTTGGTGAAATGATATTCAATAATTTATAAATTAATAAAAATACATATCAAATTATATTAAAGCTACATTAATGGTTTTATATATCTCTAACATATATTTATTTATTTGTTTGTTTTATGATTAATGACATATAAATTTCATTTATTTTTATTTATTAATAAATAAATAAACATGTACTACAAGGATATTAAATATTTAGTTGCTAGTAGAGCAAGGCATTGTGGACTGCGGAGAATCCCATTATGCAATTAACCCACCACAACCAGCCTCCTTTGATAGCTTAACCCAAGGCTTAGCCAGGGGACCACCTCACCTCAACCAAAATGCTCATGAGTTCAATTGAGATGTCCATTATGACTTCACCCATTATTCACCCCTTTGATAACTTACCAAGGTTCTGAAGGGCTATAAACTGATCATAAGTACTTGCTTATTTCTCTAATGCCAAACCATGTGGCATATGCTAGCCCAAGTAGTAGTCCATCCCAAATCTTGATCATATCCAAAGTCCTCCTTCATGTTCAAGTAGAACAAATCTATGTAACATCCGTACCGACACGGAACACGGAATATGATATGATACGACACTCTGACATATTAATTATAAAAAATGTTAGATTTTGACACGTTAGGACACGTTTTGATATTGAATAATATTTTTAATTTATGTTGCATATATTATATTTAATATTCAATAATTTAACAAAAAAATAAAGCTAAACTTATAATACTCATTAATTTTGCAAAGAAACATAAGATATCGTAGATATTTATATTAAATTCAATAAAATAATAATAGTAGTAATCCAACAAATCTACTAGTTAGAACTAAAAATGCAATACAACGTAACCTTTGAACATTTTTTTGAGTTTCTACAGCGCGCGTTGAAGTGTCAGGGAGTGTCGGACACGACACGTCAGAATTTTTGAAGTATCGATACTCCGTAGGAACAAATCCTCCAAATTCCTAGAGAAAAACCTTCTCTCCTTCCACGGGATAAGTACGCGGCTAGTAGCAAAGGGACAGTCATAAAGAATATGGATAGTGTTCTATCCAAGTTACCTTGACAGGTTTATATATTACTGTGGAGTCTCTTATGATAGTGTGGCAGTTGAGAGTTGTTGACGATGGCTCTTACATTTACAAGTTACTTTAAAGCGGGAAATATATTATTCCCAGTTACACGTAGAAAGGCCATGTAATGAAAGTACACACTATTTTTCCTTTTTAAGAATGACATTTTCACTCTCTTCTTTTGGTATGTTGGCTTTTAGAAATCAAGCTTAAGGCAACCAACTAATCTGATAAAATTGAATGAAGGTATGCAAGTGATTAAAGTTATTATAATTTCTATGTTAGGTAGTGTTTGTTTCGAGAGAAGTAAAAATTTGTCCGTCAAAGTGCATGTGGGATTGCTGAAACCCACGTTTGGTAGAAGCAATTCTGTATATTTATCCGTCAATTGGCTTTGCATAGCAATCTACGAAAACAAGTAAAAAACTTGCTAAAACACTGTTTACAAAGCCGTCTGATATGGTGGTATTTGTGTGAAAAGCGGATAACTGAAAAAGTAGGATAAAAACCATGACAACTTTACACCTCATTGTTAACCACACGTGACCAAATGATACTCGTGGACTACCCCTCATTGTTTTTACAAGGATAGTTTTCTAATTTCATTAAGTTTTCCCATCAATATTTTATCTTCAACCAAATATTTTCCTGATAAAATTTTGCTCAAACAAACAACTTTTTTAAAACTTTCCTATCTAACTCACTTTTCCTGTAGATCCCTAGTATTTACATTTTTCTAGTATTAAAAAATTTCTCCCCGACCAAACACTACCTTAGATTACTTGTTAGTAAATCATAATTCTTAGTGCGACTCATTTTTCTCCTCACACAAGACAACAGATCAAGAGCCAGTCACCTGCCTTGCGACAACTGCCCCTATATATAAAACATAAATTGAAATAGCTTTGATAATCAAAACCATTGCTTCATAGTTGCAAGGAGCTTATTTAGCCATGTGAAAGAAGAAAATGATATTGAAAGAGTCACTCTTTATACGGTCTAGTCCTCGAACCCGACTAGTTGGATTTTCCATGTATCGGTCTGGAAAATGAGAAAAGAAGGGAGGCCTCTACTAACTGAGTTTACCCACATGAATTTTCCATCAAAAGACAGCTCAGTATTTTTCTAAATCAACGGCCAAACAAGCAAAAAATTAAAGATAAATCTATCAAAATCTAATACGATTGATTATTTGGTTTATACCCAAATAAAGCTATGATAAAGGTACCTTTCAGCTAAGGTGGCCAAGTAGGTCCAAGATTTCAGACTTTTATTCCAAGATATTCCACATTGCAAGATCCCAAGAGAAAAATTTTACATCATGAAAGGAAAAGAAGGCATGAAAATCCTAGTCCAAAAAGTTTCTCCACGTAGATCTTGTTATGGTTAGTTCGAACTGTTAGCTTCCCGTTCCTGACGATGCCTTTCCCTCTGTAACATTAGATTGGGTTAAGAATCAGCCAAATAGCATAGTTAACAAATCAATTGCAGATAAACCTCCCACTAATATAAAACTACTCTACACCAAGCAAAATCTATATGAAATTTCAGATAAAGAATTGCTTGAGGTTTTGCCCATTTCCAAAAATCCAATACAAGAATACTTATCATACATAGGATATATTGGACAAAGTACATTACAGCTATAAATTTAACAAACTTTCAATTTGTGGTGGAAAATATTTTCAAAAAGCAACTTTTGTCTTGCAAAAATTGCAACGACAGCTAGGTTAAGGAAACTATTACCACCATACACATAAATTATTACAGTTACCAACTTATTTTCATTGAATTTTGCATATACTGGTAACAGCCATAGCTATCACTATAAAGTTTAGATGGCATTGGTTCACGCTTACTATGACCTATGATACGATTTCGAAAAAGGTAAGTTTGATGATCCTAATAAATATTTTCAAAACAGAGGACAATGAAAGGAGAAATCTGAGTTGATCTACCTTTGTTCAGCCAGTACTTAAACAAGCCACGAAACTACATCCAATATATTATTAAGGTCAATTCAGGATCAATAGCCATTAACAAGGACATAATAATTCACTAGTACCATAAGTGGGTTAAGTGATGGTTGGTATTCTTCTGTTTTATTTTAATTTAAGATTTTAAAAAAATTGAGTTGTCATAGTAGATAACCAAGTTCAACAACTAATGAATTGGGGCAATAACAACAGTGCTCTAACAGAACTAGCAAAATCTCACATAACTTTCATTGGATATATAAGGAACAGAATATGTGTGCATCATAGATAACCCCAAATAGTTTTTTTTTTCTTGTCTAAACAAAACAAATGAGAAAAAGTCTCACCCTTCTTTCCCAGTACGGAAGAAAGCAAACAAAATCATAGACTGGAGTAATGGTCGCACACAAAACTGCATTTACTGCAGTAAACAACAATATTGCTGTCATGGGTCGGGTTCTATGAGGCATACTTCTTTCTTATAGAGACCGAGTCCTACAATCACATGCAGTAAAGAGCATTAACAGAATGGTAAGCATGAGCTGAAAAAATAAATAAAAATGAACCATGTAATATTGTACTTGAGATCTGATTCAAGTGCGAGCAGACATATTCAGTAAGGATGATTGTTGTCACAACTCACAAGGAAACAAAATTTTGGTCCTCATGTATTATGTAGAATTGAGGACTCAATGCTACACCCCACTTAAATTTATGCATTACATAATAAACTGCATTTTCTTGAAAGCTGTTAACTATCTTCTTTGGTTTGCAATTTTAAGTGAGTGTAGCACTGACTCCTCAATATTACGATTAAAAATTTTCTCACCCGAGCGAGGCAATTGAAAAATATATATGTATAAAAAAAATCTGAAGAGTCCACAAACTTTATTTGGTCTTAAAAAACATGGAGATCCCTTTTTAAAAATTCTTGAGAGGCAATGAACAAAAACAATATACGTGATAACACATTTTCCCATACCACACTAGGAATAGGGAGAAGATGTTGTTGGATATCAGATATTGAGTCAGACATTTCATCAAACATGTTATGTTCAATTATCGAGATACACATGAGTATGTCCGTTAAATTGAACAGAAAAGGATAGGAAAGTGGAAAATGAACAAGGGAGGCTCACTTCACTTGCAGTTCTACCTAGTGATCCTCGAAGACCCTTTTCCCTCCTCTCGAGTTCGGTTCGCACAACGTTCCCTTCCTCTCTTGATACTTTCGGACTCTCACCCACGTTAACGTGGAAACCAGGGAGCCAAGACCAAAAAAATAAAACAACTAGACCAATGGGATTTTCCTTTTTCATTTTTGGGCTTCAAAACGTTATGATAGGGTGGGCCATTGATTAGGTTTCGAAAATTGGGTCAATGGAATTCCAACTATGGGCCAATATGATTTAGGTTCTTATGAATTCTGAATGTATTTATGCTAGGTCATCCTTTCATTACAATTTTAACTATTGTAGTGCACCTTTTTTTTTTAATATGTAATTTTACCTATTTTTTTCTTACTTATCTTACCTACTCATCTTTAATATCATTGGACCGAAAGCTTACCTGTCGCAAGTATATCCTCCAATATGTCCTTGGTACTCAAGAGATCACAATCACAGCCTCTAACGGTGTCACAACCTATTTCAAAGATGTGAAGGCAATTAGCACATACACTAGTCTACCACATTCATTTCAACCTTTTCTTTAGCCATTTATAACACCTGAGGCTTTTTCCAAAGCCACAAGCATAAGTTACTTAATTTATAACTTAGACTCATGTTACAAAGGTCTATACTAATCTCTTAAGGCTTTGTTTGGGAGTTGGTTTTAGGAAGAGAAGGAAAGGAAAGAGAGAGTTTTAGTAAGTCCTTCTTTTGTTTGAGAGTTAAAAAAATGAGGGGAAGAAATTAGAAAGTTTTACTAAACCCTTCAAAATCCTCCTTCTTCTCAAAATTTAAGTTCCCCTGTTTTAAGGGATTTACTTTAAGGGATTTACGAGGTAAAATATTCAAAATTACTTTTTTACCCTTTCTATTAAAATTAAAACATCTTCTCTCTCTTACTCATTCTCTCTCTCTCTCTCTCTCTCTCTCTCCTTTCGTCGCTTGGCTAGGGTTTTACTTTCCATCTTTCTCGATATGTCTCTCCCTTTCTTCTCTTCATTTTTCGATTTCGATCTTAATCGCCGATTTGGTTGCGTGTTGCTCGATTTGTACTTACTTCACTTACCCCCTTTGTTGTTCTTTACAATCTCAATTCTGCTCTCTCTATTTTAGGATTATGAAATTTGATTGTTTTGTCCCTCTAAATCACACACACACACACATAACAATCAATGTTGTGTCTAGAGATCGTGATTATGTTTCTGGTCGATTACATTGATTTGACATAATGTATTTTACTATACGAGACTTTTTAAATTGGAGAATCATATACTAATAATGTTAAGAGTGTTTGATAGGAGCTAAGCACTTATTAAAAAATTAAAAAGCAGTGAAAAATGATAATGTTCAAGTGTACGTGCTTGCCTATATTGTTTTAATGCCTTACTACAGTGCAATTGAATTTGGTTCATAATTTTTTTTTCTGATAAGAATTGCTGCTAGACTTATAAATATGCTTTGCCATGCTTGCTAACTTGGAACAAATTGTGTAATTGCATATATTTTATTAGGAGGGATACTGCATAAAGTTAGTACAACTTAGCTTGCATGGTGTAAAATTTCTAGGAAGCTTCATTTGGACACAATCTTCATTGGGGAAAAATTGATAGCAAACTACTTCTCTACTCTTATCTGTTAATATCGCCCTCTTCTCTTACACTCTTTTCAGTTTCGGATTCATCTCAATTCAAGGTTTGCCGAATACCCTTTTGCTTTTTCAATCCAAATTTCTACTTTTTTGTTTGTACTAGTGTTATTGCTTGATCAGTTTTGACTTTAATTCATATTTTTTTTTTGGGTGTTTTATCTTTATTATTGGGTTTCTGTTTGGATTGTCAGAACATGTAGTAAATTATTGCTAACATACACCCTTTCGAAAAATTACATTTTTTTATATAGAACAAGAAAGTTAATTAGAGAGAAGAGAATCACAATATAAAATAAAAAATGGATACTTCCAGTTTCTCATTTCTATGAAAGAATGTTTATTTTTACTTTCGCAGTTCACACATGGAAATCTTTCAAACGAAAAAAAATAAAATTAATTAAAATGACAATGTGAAAATTGTTTTCAAGACATTACAACAGAAAGCCATATCATCTCACTTTGGGCCTTAATTCTAATGGATATGGAAAAATGTTTTCAATTTAACCAACAATGTGTTCCATACTCCCATATGCTTTCTTTTAAAATTGAGTATAGAAGTATAGGTTTATATATGAAGGTTTACACTTCCTTTGGTGTTTTGCAAATGTTGCCATTTCTCTCTCCATTTTAATGAACAAAAACCACATATCAGTTGTAATTACCTGTTACATCGTTCAAAGACATGAACAATTAATGGGCTGGGATGAAAGGCAAAGGAAACCCTTTCGGTGATTGGGCATTGTAGTTGACCAAAAGTGTAAGAACCCGCACCGTTAATTAAGGAATTAATTAATTAATTATGAGAAATTAGGATATAATTCTATAATTGACCCTAATAATTGTGAGAAGGCTTAAATAAATATGGTAAGTGAATAATAATGCTGAAAGTCTCTTTTCTGACGAAAAGTGCAGATACCGGTTCTGCTACCCAGTATAAATGCGTACCGATGAAGTATCCCGAATTATTATAATAAGTGCATGAATATTCCTAGAATAATATGTATGGCTTGTAAAACAAGTTTCAAGTTAAAATAATGAGAGCTGGTGCCAGAATTGATACTGGCTATGGAAAAGCGCGTACCGGATAGGTGCTACGAAAAATAAAATCAAGAGTAAAGACCCAAATTGGTCCCTGACAAAAAACTCGGTGCCCAAATTAGTCCCTCACAAAAATAAACTCGTTAGATAGTCCCCAACAAAGTGAAACAGGACCCCCGTTAGTCCTTCTGTCAATCCAAAGCTGACGGTGTCAATGACGGTGATGATGTGTCACGTTAAGTGACATGCTGGAGGCCACGTGGGTTGAGGAACGACTTCGTTTTGAGAGACTCATCCACGTTGGTCAGTATGGTCCCTAACAGTTTTAACAAAGGGGACCAGTATGGTCCCTAACATTTTCATCGGTGTCTTTTTTAGTCCATGCTAAAGTTTTGTTAACACCAGTGCCACCATTTGCTATTAACACATCAGCAATGTCATTTTCCCTTTTACATGCTGATATTAGTCATGCATAACACAATCAACTTCTGCATAATTCACACAATGACATTCTTAGTTTAGTCTTTATACATTGTTCCCATTCCTTTTTTTATCTCCATCGAGTTTATACAACATTTTGTGCCAATAAACATAACTTCAAATACATAAGTCATGCTACATACATTGCATGAACAACAATTCATTACACCAGCAAATCTCAACAGAACCATGGAGATAAAAAAGAACAATAAGTTATGGTCTATATAATGTTAATTATCGTTGAGAAATGAATGACTACTTTCTAGGGAAGGGAAGGGAACTCTCTGGAATTCCAAATTTAGTGTTTTGGCGCTCTATATAATGTTTTCTTGCAATTCATCATTCATCATTAATCATTAATCATTAATCACTAGTACGTCTTGTTAGTTATTTGTTTTGTCTCCACATTTGTATGTTGTGAGTGTGTTGGGGCAGTTAAGAAGCCAGCGACAATGGTGGCCGACATGGGAATGTCAATGATGTCGGGAAGCTCTGGTTACTTGGAGATGCATCCCGAAAGGAAAATCTCCTTTTTCTAGAACTCTTACATCGTCGGTATCACTTTTGCTGCCGACATTGGTGGTCTTCTCTTCGGCTATTATACTGGTACATACCTAACCATCATTTCAATTTCTCTAATTTGAAATGCCATTAATTTGTGGTTGGTACATTGTAAAATTCTCAGCTCATGTATATATATACGGTTCCATAAATGCAGGTGTGGTGTGTAAGAACCCGCACCGTTAATTAAGGGATTTAATTAATAAATTACGAGAAAATAGGAAATGATTTCATAATTGACCCTAATAATTATTTATGAGGCTTAATAATCGTAATAAGTGATTAAGAATGCTGAAAGTCGCTTTTCAGAAGAAAAGTGCAGATACTGGTTCTGCTAGTCGGTATAAATGCGTGCCGAAAAAGTATCCCGGAAAATTAATGTAAGAGCATGATAATTACTAGAATAATATGTAGGACTTGTAAAACGAGTTTCAAGTCCAAATAATGAGAACTGGAGCTAGAAACCGGTACTGGCTTGGAAAAGCGCGTACCGGAAAAGTGCTCAGAAAGTTATAAGAAAAATATGATAAATCTTAGAAAATTATGTAGTTTCATAATCCAAAGTTTGGGATTAAAATGCTAAGCGTAGCAATTAAAGTTAACATTGTGTGTTTAAGTGGCTTGGGCTATAAATACCCTTTGTAAGGGCACAAAACCCTAGAAAACAGTGTCTCTACGTGAGTGTGTGAGGGTGGCTGATCAGCTTGGCTGACTTGTGGGGTTTCTCCTCCATTTTGGGTCCAAGACACTTCCTTTCTTGATTTTCTTCACACTTTCACTTGGGATACACTTGGTGAGGGTGAGAGCTAGCCTTGGGACTCTATTGCTGGTCTTTTCTGAGTTGAGAGAGCTGTTGTGTGTGAGGTTTTGAGGCTGACATGGGTTGGTTGTGTGTGGAAGCCTTTGTTTTGGCATTGTGAGGTCCAAGAAGCTTCCTTTGTGTTGAAAGGTCCAAGCTTGTTGATCCATTTTCGTGCACCTTGTTGAGTCAGTCTTGAGGGGCTGATTGTGAGCTCCAAAGAGCAGCCTCTTCTTCTGTTTTGGCCTTTGGTATGTATACCAATCTTTAATCATGTGTTTAATGCTTAAAAATGAAAGCTTGATGCATGTTAAGGTTAAAAGATGATAACTTGTTGTTGGGTGAGGCTTAACACATCTAGAAATGCATGATTAGGTGTTTAAAATCGGTAAAAAGGGAACCTTTGAAGGATATCTTCACGAAAATACAGAAACTGCATTCTGTCGTGAGATATCCGGATATCTGTCGAACTGATATCCGGATATTGGATATCCGGATACGTGGTTTTGGGATATCCGGATATTGGATATCCGGATATGTGAATCTGTATATGCGGATATGCATATCCGGATATGGACAGTGAGATA